AAAATAGAAAAAATAACTTTAATCCTTTAAGAGAATTTAAACCATCTCTAATTATATTTAATGTCTCTTAAACTTGAACCGGTCCAGTAGTCCAACTCCATGCATTGAAATATCATCTTCAAGCTCAACAGTATCCAGGATCTACATAATCAAACTGACCACCACACATAACCTTCCTCCTCCGAGCAATAGGAATCCTGGACTGATCCTGATACAAAACTAACCACTGTGAGAGGACTATAGTAGAAAAGTCTCAATGATATGATAACTAGACTCTGGATATTATAAGCTAGAGTAGATGTAAGGTAATGCCTTACTTACTCCAAGGCGCTGTAACAATGTTTAATACTCACATAGTTCATGTTAACGTTAAAGTTAGGCAATAGAATGCATGCTTACCCGGAAAATCAAATTTGAGAGTCAAAAGTTTAGTTTCAATTGATCATATTCAAGTCGGCTGTCAAAGAAATGATGCGTACAAACTGGTTCATTAGTGGAGTGAACTTGTTACTTACATTGTTCTAGATCTTAACATGTTTGTTTATCTGTGTAAGTTGAATTGATCTAACCTCTTGATTAGAAATTATGAAGTACTGGAAATTATGAGGTAGTTATAAACTTCACTGCTCCACATGCCCAATAAATTTTGGTGGGAATCACCATTTCGCAATGTTTTCTAAAAACATCGCAAAAAATTGCCAAATAAACTATTTGCGACAAAAATATAAAATCGTCGCGCAAAGTTCATTTTTTGTGACAAAAAAAAAACGTCGCAATTAATATTTTAATTCAAATTTAAAATTTAAAAATAATAATAATTTTATTTAATATAAAATAAAAATTATATTCTGCGACGAATTTATAAAAACGTCGCAAAAAAATACCTATTCCAGACCTTTCTCACGCAAAATTTTTTTTTTGTGGGAATCACATTTTCACGACGTTTTCTAACAAACGTTGCAAAAAATGTCAAATATACTATTTGCGACAAAAATATAAAATCGTCGTGAAAAATTAATTTTTTGCGACGAATCAAAAAAGGTCACGATTCATATTTTAATTCTAATTTATAATTTAAAATTGAATATAATTAATAATTTTATTTAATATAAAATAAAATTTATATTCTGTGACGACTTTCTAAAAACGTCGCGCAAAAACACCTATTCATGTCCTTTTCTCGCGCCAAAAATTTTTGGTGCGAATCACCTTTTCACGACATTTTCTAAAATCGTCGCAAAAAAATTGCCAAATACACTATTTGCGACAAAAATATGAAATCGTCGCAGAAAATTTATTTTTTGCGACGAAAAAAAAAAACGCCGCAATTAATATTTTAATTCTAATTGAAAATTAAATTCTAATTTTCGATGAATATTAAAACGTTGCGAAATAATAATGGTATTTAATAAAAAAATTATATTCTGCGACGAATTTATAAAAACGTCGCGAAAAAATAAATACTCCAGACAAAATATTTAAAAACGTCACAAATTAATATTAATTAAAGTTTATATTCGATGACGATAATATTAAATGTTGCGAATTAAATATTTTGAATTTTTTTTTATTTTTTATTTTTTAATATTTTTTTTATGACGAAGTAAACTATCTGCGACAAACAAATTTGTCGCAAAAAATATCAACTCCCGCCATTTTTCTTGTGCCAAAAAAAATTTGGTGGAAAATACCTTTTCGCGACGTTTTTTAAATCGCAAAAAATTTTGCCAAAATCAGTTTTTGTGACAAAATTATTAAATCGTCGCAGAAAGTTCATTTTTGCTACGAAAAAAAACTTTGCAAAAAAAATCGTCAAAAAAAATAATTTTTGTTGTAGTGATAAGAGGAGAGAGAGAGAAAAAAAAATAGGAGAAATAGATGAAAAAATAAATCAAATCTTTACATATCTAAAAAGAAAATAAATTATCAATGATAAATATAGAGAGAAAATAGTGGAGAGATGGGGAAAGAGAGAGATAGAGATAAAATATAACTGTCAATCAAGAATATATAATTTAAAGGGAAAGTATTTAGGTAAAATAGTTTTGATTTTATTTGAATTTTGTACCTAAATAAAATATATTTTATTAAAATTAAACTTAATAGAGTAAATAATTAATTCATATATTTTTTCTCAAATGAATTTAAAAAATTGTACCCACAACTTAAAAACCCAGTCATTATTCTCGGGAGAGATGGCGGGGCCTTCATTGGGTTATTGGAAAAGCCCATCAAGAGCCAACAAGCTAAAGCCTCATATTAGCATCAAGCAATGTCCAATATTTAGACCCAGTATGTTTTTTGCATTAAAATTGCATGCAAATTGTTTGCCGTACAAACCCAAGTTGCTCAAGTGGTAATAAGAAGTCTGATAAAAAAACGTGGTAATAAAAAGACACCCTGATTTTAAATTTTGGTAACTCTTTGAAATTAAATTATGAAGATTTTATCTGTCATAAATACTTTGTCATAAATACTTTAGTTTCAAAGTAGATAACTTGTCTTTAACTGAACTAAAAAGTGAATTAGTCGAGATACATGTAAGCTAACCCGAACATACTTCATCGGTGAACCAAAAAAAAAAAAAATTGTTTGTCATACAATATGTCAATGGATTGTGTACCTTTGTAATTTTAAATTAAATAAATTATATTTTATCTAAATTTATTCAACTTATATTTATTGAAAAAATTTCAACCACATCTCTTCTAATTTATCATATTTTCAACGATACCTCCTTTATTATAAAAAAATCACTGACACTCCTTCTAGTTTATATTTAAACATCACTGACGTCCTCTGTCATTAAACCGCAATTTATAACAAAAATAAATGATCTCAAATACCAAAATTGTCCTTACATAAATTTCAAACAATTTTTTTTACATAAAATTAGATTAAAATTCAAACTGATTAAATTTATTTTTTAACATATTAAAATTTGAGCTGATTAATTTTTTTTCTACATATTAAAATTTAAGTCAATTAAACTTTGATTCAATCTGATTAAATTTTATGTTTTTACGTATTATAATTTGAGCTTATTAAAAAAAAATTTAAGCATTAAAATTTGAGCTCTACTTGAGTTGTTAGCCCCCGATTTAAATTTATGTATTTTTATTTATTAAAATTTGATTCAAGTTGATTAAAATTTATTTTTTGAGTCAATTAAAATTTTTGTTTCTTAATGTATGAAAAATAGGGTTGATTAAAATTTAATGCGAGTTGATTAAAATTTGATTTAAGCCTCCAATAGAATTTTAATTAGATCAAATTTTAATACATAAAAATATATAATTTTAAATTGACTTAAATTTTAATACATAAAAAATAAATTTTAATTAACTCGAATCAAATTTTAATACGTAAGAAAATTTAAAAAATAGAGGAGATTTCATTGAAGATATGCCTATCTAGAAAGGGTGTAGATGAAGTTTTTTTAAAATATATCATAAGTAATTTAGTAAAATTATATTCTAATTAACATATTTAATCTAAAAGAGGATGTCACTGAAGATTTAAAAAATAGAGAAGGCGTCGTTGAAGATATAATAAACTAAAAGGGCTGTTGCTGAAATTTTTCCATATTTATTTTATGCATAACAAATCCTGTATAGCAGAGTATATGTCCAATCGGTTGTTAGTGTCTTTTATAAATCATATTTAATGGAGTTAATGTTGAACTATTTATTAGAAGGATTTGGTAAGACCAATTGTTTATCACTCAAACAAGCTTTAACAGCAAAAATTTAAAATCATTAATTTTATATAAATTTTCTACTAATGCTTGATTTGCATCTATAATTTTCATCTCTTAATCTCCCCCTCCATTGAAGATAGAATCCCAAACATGATAATGTGATGTGGTATCACTTATTAATAATATTAAAATAAATAAATAAATAAATTCTACAAAAATTAATAATCATTTTGTCATGTAAACAAATAAATTTTCACTCCTCCTTCGTGTAAGTTTAAGTGGGGTTCACCTTACTCACTTGAAATTTTATTATTGATTAATAATATCGTATCATCAATGATAATATAATATCACTGCTACATTCAATATTTACTCTACAGTAGAGTTATGTGGTGTGCGTGTGGAGTAAATATTGAATACTACCGTGAAAAGTAATGTTATTTGGACTTAAAAATTTGATTTAATTTACTGACATAATGATGTGACTTAATAAGAATTATTTGATCAACACCAAATTTCAATGTTTGATGGGGTCTACAACTAATCTAAAGATTACAGTGAATTAGGTCAGTAAATTATGTCAGATTTTTAGGTCTCAATAGTATTGCTCCTACGATGATACTATATCACCATTGATGACATAGTATTATCAACTAATAATAAAACTTTAAATGAATAAGTTGAACTCCACTTGAATTTATATGGAAGAAAAGTGGAGAGTTATTTATTTAGTTACGAAAAATGTTACTTGAATCTAATTTAAGGATTTAATTTAAAAATCTAATAATGTATAACCATTAAATTAATTATAAATTATATTTAACATTAAAACTCACTACTACTTCAATAGTTCTATTAAAGTCACTTTATTAAACAGTAATTTTAAACTGACCAAATTTTATGATTAAATTTAAAACCTAAATAACATGACAGTTAACTTGGACTTTTTTGATTGTTGTGATGTCATTTGACCCCGATATAAATTACAAATAATCAATTATCATGTCATTTAGATCGAAAATTTAATCGGTGTAACATTAATCTTAGAGAGAGAAGAGGGCCCCCGGAGGAGTGAGGACTTGTAGTCAAAAGCTATCATGGCATCTCCACTTGGGAAAGAAAGAGAAACTTGTATTCAAACTTATAATGGCATTTCCACTCCAATTTGCCTGAACCCCGTTCTCTTCCCACTTTAACTTTTCCTCTCCTTTACGCAATGCTACACTTATGCATTCATATACTGTACGGCATATAACTAAACAACCATCTCTCTATTTAGTCCTTTCTCACTCCCGAGGCCATGAAACCTTCATTGGGTAAGTCTTTTTTTTCCTGTGCATCTTATCCCCTCAGTAGCTCTATTCTTGGTTTTTTTTTTTTGCGATTAAATTGTGGGTTGCATTATCTGTGTAGCTCCAGTACTAACACTTAATGATGGAAGTGTAAACAATCATCTGTAGAGGTCTGTGTGATTAATACAGTTCATGATGTTTCTCTTGGATTCCTTTCTAAGTTTGTATATATAACAGAAGTAGGTTGCTGACTGCTTGAAGAGTCTTATGTGTAATCTGTTTTTTAAGTAATTCATTGATGTGATCTTGGAACTAATGATCAAAATATCTTTTGGGTGAATTATTTCTTCGCCTAAGAAACAAAAAAAAAAAATTGTTTTGTAAATAGAATGAAAACGGATACAAAATTTAAGAATTTATTTTTAAAATATTCCGACACACGTACCAAAATATTACGAAATTAGAAACATCTTGAAATATTTCGAAATATTGCAAAATACCTTAAAACATTGAAATTTCGATTTATTTTGATCTCTTTAAAAATGAAAATGTTTCGGCTGTTTTGACCATTTCATAACAAAATTTTGATCCACCCACCCCCAAATTAGCAATCCTTAAGCTTGATTTTATGTGTTACTGCATGGCATGGTGTTTCAGCAGATTTTATGGATTACTGCATGGCATGGTGTTTCAAACTAGGAAGTGGTGGCTGAAATATAGATACAGCTGTTTTGTGTTTCAATTGCTTGTCAAATTCAGTTTGACCTTTGGGGTTTGAATCAATATTAATGATTTAACACAAATAAGTTACAAGGAGAGGAAAAAATTCAAACTGAGATAAACTAGGAGTACAGATAGATAACCTTCAAAGTCAAACATTGGATTGATTATTTTTCTGGTTCAAGTTTACAAACTTGAAATTGGGTACTGAGACGGTTTGGATGCATTAAGGTTTTGGTGCTGTTAAACTTAGGGATCTCTTTTTTGAGATAGTTTGAGTTAATCAAAGTGTTATGAACAGTTCATTCTGTATACCGGGTTAGTTGCCATTCATTCGACCACCTAGTAACCTAATAGGATCTATTAGGATGGAGGTATGAATGCTTTCAATTCCTTATATCTGATACAATCTTCTTAGGAATATACTGGAAATCGAGCTGCATAAACAAGAAGTCAAAATTCATACTCACCTACCAAAATGCCAAACAAATATCTTTTCATCAGAATAGTGAAGCACATTTGATTTGAGAACAACCATACAACAAATAAAATTAAGGGAAGGCCTCTTTCTACAACAAATTTTTGTTGCATCCGCAACTGCCTACATGAGAAATTTGTCTGTTGAAAAGGTTGTGGATGCAACCTTTTGTATTATGTAATAGAAACAGAAGGTATCAGTAGAACATGAAGCTTTCCAAGTGCAGAGAAGTTCAATATAGGCTGATGCTGTGGTACCAAATGGTATACTAGGTTGGATGGTTATTTTCTTTGACTAGTTATTCAATTGTGATCAGTGTAACCATTGGACTTAATTCTTGAAAATATTTTGAAGGATGATTAACATGTTTGCACGGATCAGAACAAGGGTTTAAGTCAGCAAGATTCCTAGATCAGGATCAAATTTTCAGTTCTCTTTGTGAAGGAAAATCAATTGGGGTAGGAAGAGAAATGATTGGAAGGGCAGGCCTCCGATTGAAAATTTGTTGGGGTTGCAAGCTTAAATTCACAGAGAAATACTTGAGAAGAAAGAGCAATACAACTAGTGAAAAAGGAGAGTTTGAGGCTATCATGTAGGATTAAAATGCATAAAGAATGCGTCTTTCTTCCTCTCTTTTCCTTGGTACATCAGATAATGTCTCCTTACATAGCTCTTTGCCACCACTCAAACTATGCACTCAACATTTTATAAAAACTTGAGGCTTGTTTTCCTTCAACCTTGCAGAAGCAGTTTTGGGATCGGAACTAACCATTACCAAAGTTTTGACAAAAAAACACATCCAAGAATCATAAAGAGAACATCAGAACTTAAATAATTGCTTGCACTCCTATTCTTAATTTTGAGTTAGAGAAGTGCATCGATGTGTTATACCAATTGGCTAGAGTTATTGACTTGGGAAAGTAATTAATCAAATAACTAGGACAAGAGATGAGATACTTAAATCGTAAATTAAGTTTGATCTTATTTAGTGAGCTTAAATTTGGTTTCTTCTGGCATGTTACTTTGAAGGCAAATCCGACCTGTGCTCTGCTCTGAAGTCATTGCCCAACAAACTTGAAGGCATGCTCTGTTGTTGTAATTCACCAAACAAGTATATGAGATTAGACAGTAAGCTTGAAAGGAAAATTATTGAGGTAAAGAAAAGTGCTTCTGGACATAGCAATTTCAGATCAGTCAATAGCATAATCTTGAGGTTCCCCCAGTTCAAAGAGCAATTGAAAGAGATTAGAGGTGTTTTTGAACAGTATGGTGAGTTCAAGCGAGGTTACTTTTTGTTAGTTAATCTTTCAAGTCCTCCAAAATGTCGGTATGGATGATACTGCAAACTGCTTACTACCCTCTTTATGTCTGTCTCTCTTTGTGATTTGCTTCTATCCAGATGAAGATTCTAATGGAATTATTGACCATGAGGAACTCAACAAATGCTTAAAGAAATTGCAAGTTCAGCTTACACAAAAGGAAATTGATGATCTTTTCTTTTCCTGTGACATGGATGGGAGCGCTGGGATACAGTTTAATGAGTTTATTGTTCTTCTTTGTCTTGTTTATATCCTAGTGGATACTTCAACGACTTCCCACTCTGTATCTACAACAATCTTAATATTCTTATTTCTATTTAATTGACTTGTTAAGTAAAACATGCTCATCTTTTTTTGGTGACATTCGGATTTGTTTCAGACATCAAAGATGGGTTCACCGCAGCTTGAAGCCACTTTTGATGCTATCATTGAAGCATTCTTGTTTCTCGATAAAAATGGTGATGGAAAGCTGAACAAGAAAGACATGATGAAGGCATTGAACGAGGCTTCTCCTCGGGAGAAATCCCCTGCACATATCACAAGAAGTCGATTCAGGATTACCTTCACTTGCCACACTGTTTCTAACTAATTTTGTAGTTGTATTTTATGCAATAGCTCTTTTAGCCCTCACTTGGTGCTCCTTGCAATTAAATGCAGAAGAAATGGACTGGGACAGGAACGGAAAGGTCAGCTTCAGGGAATTCCTCTTTGCTTTGATTGATTGGGTCGGGGTTGATACAGATGATGAAATTCCTGTGGAAGGACATTAAGCAGAGCACAGAGAGCTAAGGAAGGAAAACATCTGAGTTGAGGTCAGATTGATACAGTTGTATGTATATCCAGCAGTTTATTTTTAAGAGTTGGCATTGTGTCATGTTTATAATGTTGATGATATATGTCATATTTAGCAACTTGATTTGTTAATGTTAAGTTATTTTTACCACTTTGTTCTTCTTCCATATATACTACTGAAACTTCTGTTCATGGACTTGAAAATATGGATACACCCATAACTTTACTAATCGCTAGAAAGATACATCACAAGGCATACTTCTCTCTTGCTAATTACTCCAAGAACCTAAACAGTTTACAGACTCCCAAGAAGGAAACAGAAAAAACTAAGGACTATCTAATATAAGAAGCAACCTTGGGTCATTTGAAGAAGTCCAGTGTACATTAGCTACCTATAGGCCATTGTCATTTTACATTGGTGAGTTTCATTGTATTCCTAGAGCTTGAATTCTCTTTATCACTGACAAAGAAGAAGCATTTCTTTGTTTCCAATCTTCTCTCCTCTCCTTCTTTTGTCCTTCTTCCATGAAGCATCTGTCATAACCGTCGAGTATGCTGACAATCTGCCTCATGCTTGGTCGTAATTCTGAGTTGGTGCGTATGCATGCCATTCCTACTTTCATTAGCCTCACCATTTCATTGTGATCATACTCTCCATCCAACCTCCAATCTACCAATTCCTTGTAAGGCCTTTTTCGTGCTTCGAATTCATGGACTCTCTTCACCAAAAGCACCTCAGGCCGCCGAAAATCAACAGCCATCTGTCCACTGACCACCTCTAGCACCACTACACCAAAGCTATATACGTCTGCCATTGTCGTTGCTTCACCAGATTGCATATACTCTGGTGACATGTAACCAAAAATTCCACGAACTGATTTACTTTTGTCAATAACTACGTGATGGCCATGTTCGTTTCGTGTCAAGAATTCTGCAAGGGCAAAGGAAGTGAGCCTTGGGTTCATGTCTGGATCGACAATAATGGCAGATGAGGTAATATTTCTGTGAATAACTTGCTCATCCCATTCCTCATGGAGATATTGAACAGCAGAAGCAAGCGATTTGATTATGTTGTATCGATGGCGCCAGCTAAGCATGGATTGCCAGTTCTTCTGATCATGATGGAAGAGGAGATGACTTAGGAGACGATTTGCCAAGTAATCATAGATGACTAGCATCTCACCTTGCTCAGTGCACCATCCACGGAGCTGTACCAGATTTCGGTGGCGGAGCCTGCCTAAGTTCTGAAGTTCATTGGAGAAACGCATCCGCAATGCAGGGCAGGTCTTCATACCTAGCCTCTTAACCAGGACGTGGTGGCGGTTTTCAAGGAAGCCATGGTAGGCAGTTGCAAAGTCTAGCTCTGCTACTCTCCGAGAATCTGAGAAATTGTTTGTGGCAGAAATGATTTCCTTAAAGGCTATTTCATGCGGAGTGTCAACCATAGGGAAAATGTTTGATCGACGGTAGCTGTTGTCTGAATAGCGGTGGTTGTTGTTTGAAGAGCTGACATCACTATTTTCGCTTTCAGCACTTGCATATATGGTTTCTCCCGTGGCAGTGAAAAAGACTGATGAATTGGACGCAGCTGCTGTGGTGGTGGTGCTGGCGGTGATGATGGTGGTGGACCTCGTGTTGGTTGTGTTGCTAGTGCTACTATTGGTTGGGGAAGACAAAGAAATGTATTGCGGGTGGGATTTAAATGATGGGAGATCCGGAAATTTGCCATGAATATTTCCAGAAAGTGCTTCTACAACCCATTTCATGTTAGGCCGGGATTGTGGGTCCTGAAGCGTGCAGAGAAGACCGAGATGAACAAACCGTTCCATATCAGAAAGCTTGTAAGACCCATCTGGAAGCCTAGTATCCCCTGCTTGTAAAAGCCTCCCATCATCAGAAAGCCTTCTGATCCAATCAAGCAAAATGATCTGGTCATCTGAGTATGTGAGGTCCACCGCTCTTCGTCCTGACACAACCTCTAGAACCACAATCCCAAAGCTGAAAACATCAGATTTTGAAGTGGCAATGCTTCGCTTTTGGAAGCTTTCCGGTGGTAGATACCCAATTGTTCCACCAATTCTGGTCGTGTCTGCTAACCGAAACTGGTGATTCCTCATTGATGGTGTCCTAATTTGGTACTCAAGTTCGTGTTCGAGCCACCTAGCCAGGCCAAAATCACCAAGCCGCGCGTTATAGTGAGAGTCAAGCATCACGTTGCTCGTCTTCACATCTCGGTGTATGATTTGAGTCTCCAACTGTTCATGGAGATAGACCAACGCAGCTGCCAACCCTTTAACAATCTTTCTTCGACGCTCCCAAGTAAGAGTAGTTGACGCCATATTTTCTGGTCTTTTGAAGAGTATTCTATCAAGACTCCGATTGGGCATGTAGTCATAGACAAGAAGCAACTGATCTTCATGAACACACCATCCACGGAGGCGGACAAGGTTCCGGTGGCGGAGATGAGCCACTGCCACCAACTCAGCCGCAAATGTCTTCTCAAACCGCTCTCCTCTCTCTGCCAAGCATTTCACGGCAACCACTGTTCCATCACTAGGTAAAACTGCTCTGTACACTTTCCCAAACCCTCCACTGCCAAGAACTTCATCCTCACAAAATCCCTTTGATCCTATGTAGAGCTCAGCATAGCTGAATATCCTCGGATTGTCGCCACCAATCTTTTCTGAGAATTGGACTCCTTCCATGTCCTGGAACAAGCCTGAGGGTTGTTTTTTCAGTTCTTCTTGGTGACAAAAACTCACCCATTTTGAGTCAAAGAACCCCTGAAGTAATTCACTAAGGAAACCAAGAATCCGAGCCCCACAATGGCGTTCAGATGAATCTTTCTTAGCTTGCCTATGGTCTTGGACCTCTTGCTTGTGATCCACCATCTCCATCTCAACAGATTCTGCTGGTAAAATGAAGCACATGTGGTTAAGCTTCATGGTGGACCGAACCTGGTAGTGGTTTCAAAAGCAGTAAGGGGTGGAAGAAGGTCCTGAATATGAATGTGAATTTATATGTAAACCTTGGGGGAGGGGTTGGTGTTGGGAGGAAGAAGTTTTTGAATGTGAATGTGAACATCTATGTGGGGAGGAGGAAGGTTTTGAATGTGAGTATATAAATAAACCTTCAGGGGTGTTTTTTTGTTTTTTTTTTGGGGTGGGTGGGTGGTGGAAGAAGGTTACCAAGGAAAGAGAAATACTCATACTACGGAACTCAAATTTGTATTCTAAATAAAAGGACCATGGGATGAGTAGGGTTCATCAATTTTTTTAAATGGGACTCACTGATTCAATGATCCTTTTCATTTGATGTACAAATTTGAGTTACATACATAGTATTTTTCAGTAAGATAAATCATGTCAGCGTGATACATGGTGTAGCTGTTGTAAGGAATATTTTTTCCGGAATATGAATGTGAATATATATATATATAGATGTAAAACAGGGTGTGGATATGTATTGTGGCATTTGGTATTGCTTTTATTTTATTACTGATTCCTACCTGGGGAGGTTGACTTTTTTGACATGAAGACGAAACGGCCAACCAGAACCGACCCCGGAGGGTGATGTTAAGCAGTGAAAAGTCTTTGTAGTTGATTTGGTTTCTGGAAACATTGTTTCATGTACCAAAAAAAAAAGGAAACATTGTTTCACACGAGGAAGGCCTTATTACACTCTCATTTTGAAACGCGTGATGATCACCCATGAAAGATAAAATCTCAAATGCCATTAGAAACGGCAAATGTGCATATGCCATTTTTCACAATTGAAACAAAAATCATGCGTTTTATGAATAACACAGCAATTTTTAATGTTTTCTGCCGTTGCTAAAATAGCAGCCCTGATTAAACACACCAAGAAGAAAATGTAATTGGAGGGTTTGAAATTCACATTAGACTGGTAGGTCCAGGTGTGTAAGTGATTATACAAAAAAAAAAACAAAAACGTTTCTCCATGTTGTAGAACTTATGGTTGTTAAAATAAGACACGATTTGTTAATATGATGCGAATATGATATAAAATTAGAGGGTTTAAGTGTTTTTTAAGTTACCCGTTTCCTAAACGAGTGAACTCGATATGATACGATCAATAAACAAATTAGGTATGAGTGAAACCAATTAAAAGAAATAAACGTCACGACTTGTTTATATATCGGTTATACAAGATTTTTTTTTTTTTTGGGAGGGAAAAAGGAGATTTGAACCCTTGATCTTAAGAAAACAAAATTTTTACAAGACAAGGAGTATCATTAAATCAAAAATCTATTGGTGGTTATACAAGGTTCATCCATGATACGAACCCGATATAACACGACTCATTAGATATGAATTAATAACCGAAGAACTCACTAAGAGTAGACCCGACAGGCCTAATAAGACCCAAACCCTTTTCACAATAAAGTTAAATTAATTATTTCCAATAATGCGATTTCTTTTCACTTTAGTAGATGTGTGTGTGTGTGTTTTTTTAAAATTGGATGAATGACACAAGTGCATACATGAAAAATATTCAAATTATCAAGTTACATCTTGAAAGATTAAAATTTTCAAACTGTACCCCAAACATACAAAAAGATAACAATGTGATTCAAATCACAAAATTTATTGCTCTATTTGATTTTTTTTTGTTTGTATTATATTTTTTATTTTATGCACAATTATTTGTATATTACTCAAAATTTACCTATCATACATTAAAAGGCTTCTCCATTTTGTAGGACCCAAACTCCTTTTAGAATAAAGTTAAATTATCTTGATAATAACCCAACTAATTATTTCCATGAATGCGATTTCTTTATACTTTCATAGATTTTTTTTTGTTTTTTTTAACTTGGTGAATAATACTTTGCACCCTTAAATATATTCAGATTCTCAATTTACATCCTGAAAGATTAAAAATTTAAAATTTCGCTTCAAACATATCAAAAAATAACAATGTGGTCTAAAAGAAAAAATCTATTGCTTTATCTAATAATTTTTTGCATTTTAGTCTTATATTTTTCAATTTTTTTGTTCAATTATTTGTATATTACTCTCTTTTAACTATCATACACGAAAATTTATACTCAATTTTATTAAGATAGACTATATTGTTACTTTTATTTTATATAATTGAAGGTACAATTTGAGAATTTTAACCTAAAAATCTTTTAAGGTGCAAAGTGATATTGGCCTATTTAACTTTTATAGAATGTGACGAATGTGTATCAATACTATTTTAATTTAGTTTGGGGATTTAATACGTTTATGTCATTTGATTGATAGTAAATTCTATTTAATGTCGAGATCCACTACTTATCAAACATAGAAATCTATATAATAAATCATAATACAATTTAAATTTTAAAAGATATACAAAATAATTTTTATTTTTCGCGGTTGAGTTTTTTTAAAATTTTATTTTAAAATTAATCTCATGTCTAATATTAGTACCCTAAATTTAATAGAGAAAATAGACTCTTAAAGGTGTATTTGGAGTAATCTTTTAAAAATGCTTCTAGAACTTATAATTTTTCATAAGGTATTTTTTTACAAAATAGTGTTTAGAACTGTCTCACCACTACCACTACCACCCCCATTGCCCCACCACCATCACAACTACCACCATCAACATCACCCCACCACCACAACTACCACCACCACTACCACCCAGACCACTGCCCCACCACCACCACTACTACCGCCACCTTACCACCATCGCCATTGTCTCACCACCACCCTTACCGCCCCACGGCCACCATCACCATTGCCACTATTACAACTAATCGTCGTCGTCCATCGCAACCATCATTGTTTTCCACTACAACAGCTCGCCTTCACTACAATCAGTGATTAAATTCTTTTATCTTTCCTCTATTTTTATAATTTAATTTTGGATGTAAATACAAATATGTTTATTATTGACAACTTTTTTTTTATTATTCCGTGCCTTCAGATATGAAAAATAACTAGTAATATAATATATTAGGTTATTAAGTATCTTTCTTGTAGTCTCTTATATCAGAACTTTTGCACTTTTTTTTGCTATTGAAAGTGATTCTAGGCTTAGTACTTTCGCCTATCCAGTAGTCGTTACCAGTTGTTCACCACTCCTCCCTTCTCGTCTATTTCGCCAATATGCTTCCTTTCTAAAGTCTTATTCAAGTCCTTAGTCTCACATAAAGCCATTTTTAGAGGATTTAGACAGGTGAACTACTTCCAATTCAATTGCTTTAAGTTAAATTTGATAATCACAATCATTGATTAGGTAGTGAGTCTTAATAAATGTTGAGACTCACAGTGAAATTAATGACTGTAATTATCAAGTCTAATTTTTAAGTATATATAACATTACTCTATTAATATTAGATTACAATAAAACTGTTCTAAATTATAACCACACGGGCCACACGAGAAGACTATGGAGCTTGAAAGGCTAAAGAAAGTCAACATTATTCGGTGTTCTAAAGGAAATGTGTCTCATGTAATTGACATGCATCAATGGCGGAAGTCTAGGCGTGAGTCTTGTGAAAAATGTATGCTAGAGATTCAATAAGATTCTTCCTTTTTTGCTAATCAATAAGAGGTATAAAGAGCGATTAAATATTCAATTTCAACTGAATGTTTGAGCTCTTACCAATTATGGAAATTCTTGCAGACGTTGCTCAGTAAGTAAGACATGTATGCTATCCCGTGAATTGAACTTGGGGTATAATACTTACCGGCCTTAAACTCCAAAACTCCTAAGGAGGCACTAAGTGTCACTATACCACACTAATTTGTTGGTAATTCAATAAGACCAAGTTACAATTAAACGAACTCAAAATTACAACTCAACTAAATATAAAAATTTGAAATCAACACAAAAAATTTCTATCGATTTAAAAAAGTTACAATCAATCTCCAATTTTCTAGATCGAAACTAATTTGACCCTATTGATTCGTAACTCATTATCTTTTAATCTAATTTATCCTTATTAAATTATTATTTTTTGTACGATATTATTTACTTTTTATAATATAATATAAATAAAGTGTAAAAATAAAGGCATATTTGTTTTAGATAGATAATGTGCTAACTACTACGTGGGTGTTGGTCGGTTGAGTTGGGTGTTGATTTGGTTGCCTGCTTTTTGTTCTCATTAATGCCAGGTTCACTTTTTTTGGTGGGAGGTGGGAGATTAATGTCACATTCATTGTGGTGGAATGCATTCAATCTTTTCAGTTTTAACTTTAGTAAATTATAATAACACCCCGCAAAGTTTTATGAAAATGCTTTTTGTATCCTAAGATTTAAGAAGTTATAAAAAAAACCATGGGTCTTGGTTGGTTGACGACATATTGACCTAATTTGTTGACATAATTCACTATAGTTTTTGGATTGATTGTAGGTTCCATCAAATGTTAAAACTTGTTATTGATCCAATAATTCTACTGAAATTTCATCAATAAATCAATAAACTAGGTTAAATTTTAAATTTAAATAACATTAGTCTTCATTTTTATCATCTCACTTTTTTACTTTTTTGACTTCAGATCAAAATTAATAATCAACAAGAAATATTAAAGGGTTAATTGCACGGAAGATACTTAAAGTATGAGATTTGTTTCATTTTGATACACAATATTTTAATTGCATCATTTTTTATTCATAAAATATTGAATATGTTTCTATGTGGTCTCTTAAGCAGACAATATCTAAATTGCTAACGATATCCTAAACTTATTACGTGGTACATAAATATGAGTAAAAAAATAATATGGTTAGCTCTTGACCAAAATTTGGATAATTTATTATCACAACTGTGTAATTTACGTAGCTTTTTGATCAAATTTTGGCTAGAAATTTGGTCAAAAATTATCCAAATTATTTTTTGTCCATATTTAGATATTTTGTGACAATTTTATAACAAAAAAATGTTAGCAATTTGAATATTGTCTGTTTGAGAGATCACATAAAAACATATTTAATACTTCAAGGACCAAAATAATTCATTTAAAATATTAGAGATCAAAATGAGACAAATCTTATACTTTGAGGGCTTCTAATACAATCAATCCAAAATTAAACCAATTAGACATAATTGGTTTGACAACCCTTAACTTTTTCAAGATTCTATCAAATGAGAAGTCAATTAATCGTTCCTTCTCATAGCCAAAAATTGACTTCTATGCCCCATTTTTTTTGTGGGTTTTTATGACCT